GGATATGGCCTCGAGGCTGCGGAGTCTTGGCGGGGGCTGCCGTGCCGCGCTTCTTTCTTCGGGCACCGTGGGCAGCACGAACGCCTGTCGTCCGCTTCGCCAGTGCAGCACATCGGCGGGATGGAACGGCACGGATTTGTTGCCAACGATGCTGGTGTAGCCGTCGGCAAAGCGAGGCCGCTCGACAGTGTTCACAAGCAGGTCCAGGACGAGGGGGTAGGGTGCATGATTGCCACCATCTTTGGAGATGGCGTGATTGCCCACCTTTTGCTCTCGGATTTCAGGACATGCGTCGTGTATAGTAGAGTCTGGCAGTCGTCGGGGGGCACTGGGCACCTAAGATATAGAACAACCCGATTATTATTATACAATATCTCAAGGGGGAACACACCAAGTAATTCGTTGCAAACGACAACTCATTTGGAACATGTAATAGAGTCAAAAGTAGTGGAAAATACTATCTTTGACCATACTTGGTCAAGAGATGTTGTTAGAAGCAGACCCAACCAAAATCAAGGTAACGCAGTCATGTAGTTAGCACCACAAAACATGAAAGGGTGGGTACCTCGGGAGTGTTTTCGGCTGTCGGTCGCTCGAGATCAGAGAGCCCTTCTTCGGAGTGTTCGATTTCAACGTCCTGCGTTGATGACACTGGGTTGGCTCCGCTGAAGGCTTCGACGGCAGACGACTTGGGGTCTTCATCTTGTCTCTGCAGGAACGGCTCGGACAGGACGTCCGTGTGGGCGTCGCTTGTAGTCGATGGAAGGATGGCAACGGCGCGACTTTCAGTATCAGGCGACAGCGGCGCGTCCACCGCTGAGGACTGGAACTCAACCAAGGACGGCGGCAAGGTGGCCGCATTCGCGCTGGTCGTACCAAGCATCGTTGACGGTTCGTCTACCATGGACAGAAGTGACGACAGGGTAGAGAGTGAAGGGGGTCTTACCTGAGGGTGAAAAAATGGCTTTCAAGTGCACGAACGTGCGGACGACACGCTCTGTGACGGTGTAGCCCATGGGCTGCCACTGTAGAAGGAGCCCCGCAAAGGCCTCGACGCTGAGAGTGACTAGACGTAGCACGAGGCCTAGACAAGAATCAGCCACACTGGTTGACAAGCAGCACAATATATGCAGAGAGATTATGAATTAGTACCTTTGACCATGATCATCCAGACCATGTCGGCGAGGTTGGGGGGGTCCGGGATGGGCTTGAAAAGAGTGTGGAGCGGCGTCGCATCGCCGTTGGACGCCGACATGTCGAAGGCCATCCGTGCGCAAAAGAGCGCGATGCATACACGAGATCCTTTGCCGTCCTCCGCCGCGATGAAGCCGCGGAAGCGACGGTCGAGTGTGATCAAGCAGGCTGTCCCAAGGACATAGATGCCTGGAAGACAGGAAGATGAGATCATTTCGACGGGAGAGGGCAGAACCTGCGATGTACTGGATCGACATTACGATCACGAAGAGCGCGAGAAACAGCCAGGCCTCGTCGCATGACTGGCTCAAGTCGTTGAGCAGGTTCGCGCCTACGTGTGGGTGGACATATGACAACAATCCATGACAGCGTCGACGTACCCTGGAAGTCGGACGTGTCCGAGGCTGGTGCGGCGGCGCGTCGCACAGACGCCATGGGCACAGCTATGTCGGCGTAGATTGGTTCGCCACGAGGACGCTGCTGTGCTGCAGCGGCCACACCGGCGGCATCGAGGTTCACGTTGAAGGTTTGGGTGCTGGGAGTCATTACTCGCGTGGTTGATCTTGTTGATATGCGAAGATCTGCATGAGACAGATCTTAATATCTAACCGACCTAATATGGGGTTTCTCACCTTCAGTATACTTCAAAGTAGTAAATACCATACTTTGTCTGTCAGGGTGGTTATTGTGTTTGGGACGATATTGTCGGAAAACCGCGATCTTCCTGCAAGAACCAATATACCAATAATTAACTAACAGAGGTGATTAAGAACTTTTTGGTGGTCCTCGCCGCGTGATCCGTCTCGGTGGATGTCGCCACATTCTCAAGTCCGTGCTTTGGCTGATCACGTTCTGGTTCCCTCAACTGGTACTCCTATATGTTCCCTCCGCTGATGGCTATACTTCCTAGGGGAACTTGAATATGTCCAACTACGTAGGTCCATTGCACGCTGGTCGTATTGGGTTCCGCGCTCAGCTAAAGCGGCTCAATGAATCATTGGCCGATGTGAATGCGTTGGACATTGACAGTTACAGTAACTTTTACGACGTCTTAACCACTAACGTTACACCTCCTTGCGTACACTACGTAGTAGTACTGATATACTAGGAAAAACGTCCAACTTAATCGGGTAATTAATAGTACTGGTGTAGAGTTTGTTATTCCAGACACGCTATTGGATAATCCATTTTTGAGGGGATCTGATTGGATCTTCGAGGAAATATTTAGTCTATCAGAAGTTCCAGCGTGATTCAATATTGAATAGATAAATATAACCATGCGAAATTTGGACGGTTTGCCAGCACTTGGTACCAATATGTTGTTTGTGATGTAGAACAATTGGGTCTTGTACTGGAGCTACTTCGGGTGAAATCGGCGTCCCAAGCACACGTATCCCCACGCGTACGTGTAGGATCGAGGAGTGGGGCTTGTGCTGGCTACATACGGAGTCAGGTCGATTGCGCTGGGCATGTGACTGTGTGGGTGTCCAATGCCCTGGCAACTTTGGTTTATACATACAGTAGATAACAAAAGTCGGCTTCCAACTCGTTCGTTCTTGCAGTGTACGATTGGACATGTATATATATGTTGGTGAATATGGTTTTGTTGATGTTAGTCGGGTGGTTGCGATGTTTGCTGTGGGCGTGTACATGGTCGGCAACGATCTCCTGATCAACATGACGGTGATGGTGCTGTGCCTGGCATGCTGATGGCGGGCGTGGGGCTCCTACGATGCTGCCAGTCCCCCTCTGAACTAGGTTTTGTCCGTGAAACATAGCGTCGAAAACAAACTACTACGTAGTAATCTTTACGACCAAGTGCATATTAGTTGATTCCACGCAAAAATGGTGTATACTATGTACGAATATACGAACGGACAATCGAAAAGATGATGCAACCACGAAGCATGTGGCCATCTCCGGGCTTGTCCGACGGTGAACATGCTCCAATAGCATGAATATGCTACCCCGTGCTTACCAGCCATAACAAGTCGCCATGGGTTCGTACGTATCTAATATATGCTTAATCCAAGCATGGATCCGTTCTAACGTAGTCCTGATTATTGTGAAAAATACACCAAACCCAATCGAACTGCGTCGTTATAGGACACCGCATCCCCTCCATACACAATGAATTGTGCCACTCGAGGGCGCATACAAGGTTATTGAATCAAGTGACGACTTGTTTTACGTATACCACCCATCACTTGAGTCCAAAAAGCGCAAAGTGGTTCTGAGTGAACTGTCGTGCACTTGTGTAGAACAAGACCAAACCGGGATGTCCTGTCGTGAATTAATTCGGGTGTTGATGGTGACTGACAACATGGCTCAACTCCTTAGAGTCGTACGACCGTGCATACAGTGTGGCAGAGTACTGTAGTGCATACCTGGGCAAGTCCGTGCATCTGCCTGTTCACGAGGATATTGTCCCCACTTAAGGCGTCCTGATTTGCCCATTTCTACCACTTTAAGTCCTAAAATTTTCTAGTCTTTTTTCACTGGCACTGCTTGCTACCCCGAATAAAAACACCTGGACGAACTTACTTGGGATGTGCTATAACTGGAATGTATCAGATGAATGTTATAGTCAATCTGTTGATCGCCGGAAAAAGTTTGTGTCACCACCGGAATTGACCCATGTACAATGTACCTTTGTGTTACTATTCTGATGTCCTAACCACTATGCTACCGGTCCAGTGCTTGTATGAGATGGAGTTATTTACAATATAACTTAAACGTATTTTGGAGGATATTGGTTGTACAAGATTCGCCGAATGACATACACACTAACTAATAAGGAAGAACGTGTGGACATAACGTGATAGCTGCTTGTAATTGTTCCGTTATAGAAAATGAGGCGGTGCGCTAGCAGAGCATGCTCATTAAATCAATCCGGGCAAAAGCAATGGATTGTAACCATCACAATTGGTCAAGCGGTCTAGGATGTGTTTGTACATTGTACAGTAGGTAGAAACGCATGGGTTCAAATCCAGAATACAATACACTTTTTTGCATCTTTGTTGTGCCGAGCGATATCGTTTGAGACTCAATGGTCGTGAGAGATTGCACCAGATACAGCATCATATCTATCATAGATGCCAAAACAGAATCACGTGCATGAGGGTATTCTGGTAGCTAAAAACAATGTAGTTAATTCAATTTGATCGTATGTTGCCACTACAATGACAAGTGACAGGAGTTGTCGTTCTTATCGTATGCCACGATGCCACGCCATTACAGGTAAAGGATAAAACACTCATGTAATGGCAGGCTACAAATGCTAACTAGTCGAATAATCCAAGGAATATAAATCGTATTGCGTGAGTAAACTACTGTAGAGTACATTGCTTGCATAACGCAGCCACTCTCGCATGCTTGCGTAGAGCCCTCGTGTAATGTCAGTTAAATTCCTGGGTAAGAATTTTAGCAGTGCATGCGTTGAACTACCGTATTTCCCGCACATCTGTAACCACCATTTCGTCCTGAAGAACTGTAACCACGTTGAATGATCAATTCTAAACTCGAGACAAATATATAGCCAGTGTGAACGAAGCAAATTGGGTGTTCCCATAAAGCTGTAACCAATAATCAATGATTGGGTAATATTCAACCAGTCAAGACGTAGTGCTGCAGAATTCAACACCTGAAAGTGGATGGATTTGAAGGCCGTGGACATTGTTGGCTGCGCAAATGGTGAGGGAACTCGAAGCTGTACGTCGCACGAAGTCTGCGGCAATAGCTTGTCAGTAGACGAC